ATAGACTTTCTAAAACATAAATCTGACCATTTCTGTCTCCTCTTTAAAAACCCACAATACTTCCCCCTGTCTGAGGATAAAATCCAAGTTGCTTACCATTGGATTATAGGCTTACATGGCTCTGTACCAGCTGTTTGGCTCTCTAAGTCTTCTATCTACTCCCCTCATTCCCTCCGTCCTTGAACCCTATTCTCCAGTCATGAACTGTGCTTAAGTCTTGGACAGCTCCATCTTTTCTTACCTCTGGGCCTCTGCATATTCTCTGCATGGAACTTCCTTCTCCCTCCCTCCATATACTCCTTAATTCCTGCTAATCCTTCAGGTCTCATCTTAAATCTTACTTCCTCTGAGAAGTCTTCTTGCATAGTTCCTGGCACATAGTAGCTACTCAATAAATGACCTTTCTTTCCTAATTCCCTTGTTTTAGTTTAATGTCAGATTTTGCAGTTTTAATATTGTTCAAGTTATTTTACTAATAAAATACAAACACAATAGGCTATTTTACTTTTTAAAACATTCTATTATGAAGATCTACCAATAGAATATTTTGAGTGATATGATGAACTTTTCTACTAATGAGGTTCATCATAACTGTGGCACTTGTAACACTGCCCCAAATAAAAATCAACTTGAAAAAAAAAAAAAAAAAGACTTGCTTCCTCCAAACACATGGGAGGGTTGTACTTTCCTGCACATCTGAAGGTAAGTGTGGTGGTGGAAAGAGTGACATGGCCATAGAACTAACGTGTATTATATATATAGTACTCTAAATTATGTTATAGATGTTTTACTCTTCTAATTCATCTCTTTATTTTTATCAGAGCAGTGCCCACTAAATGATGTTTAAAAGAGCCAAATTTTTAATATTTCGTCATCTACATACATGGCACCTATTTGAAACATAAGGAGGCATAAAATACTGCATTAAATCACATACAATGTCTAATACCTGGCAGTTTTTGGCCCACAAGAATGGTAATTTCATCAATTCAACCTAATCCAATATAAGTGAGTGATACTGAATAAAATTATGTAAAAAAAACAGATCAAGAAAAATTATAAAGGTTATATGTATATGAACTTGAATATATATAGGTATCACATTTATAAATTCTTATACTCTAAAGAAATATCAATTTTCTTAACAAGCTTAAGATGATCCCACAGCACAAAAGTTAACTTTTTTGAGTCACTGAGTTTCCTTTAAGAATCTAATAAAAGCTACATATTTTCTCACCAGGAAAAACAAAATGCTTAAACGCTTATATAAAGAAAGTCAAATTTCTAGTGACTCAGAGTCCATGAAGCCAAGATCCAAGTTTAAGAAGCTCTGCAATAGCAAAATTTTAAACTATAAGCTAACAACTGAATAACGATATTCAACAAAAGCTGCCTTCCTGTGAAAGTGCAGGATATTCATATATTAAGTAACCACATTATTTTTCAAAGTAAAGTCTGATGGGTGAATGTATTTTCTCATTTTAGCCTGGCTGGATCATAGGAACAGAAGAGATATCAGAATGATTTAAAGTCATGTTAGTAAATTAGAAAAAAATAAACACCGAAAAATATTCCTGATATTTAATGTCACACGGGTTTCAGAAGAATAAAGTTATTTACCCAATCCAATGTGCTTTATTAATAAATCCTGTTATCCACACACAGAGTTAACAATTTATTTTTTACCTGTAACAGTTGCATTTATTTTAAAACCAGTCAGTTTACTGAAATAACTGGGTCATCTAGTTCCTTAAAGTTAGAGGAAAGTGATTCATTTTCAAGGATAATTAAACGAGAACATGTCCATTCCAAGACTATACGACCATACACAAATCCTATAAAAATAATTAAAATCCAAAAACAAATGTATTACCTTTGACAGAAATTCTATTGTTAAACAGGCTGTGGATAAGAAATCATGAGTTCCAACTTCTTCGCCTGTTCCATGCCTGTAGTCACCTTTGTCTGTGAATGCTTTAACATGCAGCCGTGGTCTGTAAGTCCATGATTTCCTAACATTTCCAGTTCCCAGCACATGGTGCTGTAATGATGGCACGATGACTCACATCCTTACCACACCCCCACTTTCATTATTCAGTGTAACACCTCATCCTCCACAACCTCTCACGGGTTACAGCATATCAGAATGGGGAAGGGGGAGGAGGGGCCGAAAGTGGAACAGGCCTGAGTGCTTTTTCAAAACTGCAAGCTGCTGTGAAATTCATGTAGTGGGTTGTGACTAGCAGAGGGAAGGGTAGAAGTTTAAAATGGAATAGAATATAATATAGTAGAAGAAAAACATCAGAGTGCATCATACATTATAAGCATAAGTATCTCTTCAGATGTGTGTGTGTGTGTCTGTGTGTGTGTGCACGTGTGTATGTTTAAGGTCTTGATATAAAAGCTATTTCAAAATGTAGGTCTTGGTTTAAAAACAATCTTAAATTTTCATGTTGGAGATCTACGTTCTAGTCCCAGCACGATCCCTGAATACTGTACAATTTATGTCTTCCTTCTTTCAGTTAAACCTCACATCAGCCTCACGATCATGCTATAAATTAAAATGGTGTCCCTTGGGTACTGTTTTAAGTATCTAAGAGAAAGGTACTCTCCTTAGATAATACCAAAAAAACGAAACAAAACACAAAACTAAATAACAACCGTATTATTGCTTAAAAAAAAATTCCTATCTATCTGTTCATGACCAAATAAATCACTCTGGTTGCACATAGCACTTTCATCTCAGGAACAATCCATTCAGATCATATTTTGAACTTGTCTTCTAACATTTTATGTTTCAGTGTCTCTCATATCGCACATTTCTGGCTTGACAATCGTTAGTTACCTCCATCCTCTGAGGAGCTTCATAAATTATATTGGGAAAAAATCTTTCCCTGTACATTTCATATTTTTAAATCACTTTCCTGGGTTTTTGGTTCTCAGTTATTTTCCCACAGTTCTAGATTTCCCTTGAAAACATTTACCTATACCTCTTAACTCTCTACTCTTTTATTCTTAGAAATGCATACGCTGTATTTTAATGGATCCCGACAGCACTGTCCCAAGTTATAGTACTTCTTTCTGACAGCTCTGGAACACTCAGTTGGCTGAAGCCTACCTTTCAAACATACTACCCACAAAATTCAATCAAAGGCACCATGACCACTGTGTGTTCAACGTCTACAGACAAATGTGGCTTATGCTTAGTCATCTGGCTTAGCCAAATAAAACAATCAGTCATAAAGCCTTTAAAAGTTTGCATTTCAGGATGAAGACGTCAGAGGTCTATCTTTCTTAATACCTTTGGAATATGATCTCTTTGAATATAGAGTTCATTTGGAAGACAATGTAATCTTTTTCTCCTCAAGTTATTTACGTTCAGCATTGAGTTGTACTTTTGAAACATTTAGAATCTAGTTTAAAATTCAAAAAAAGTCTTACACCAGAAAAGAGTTACAGGGGGTATTGTGCTTAAGTGAAGTCTGTGTCAAAATACATTTTAAGAAATGAGCTTAATAAATCAATGGCTACTCTATCTTCTAATTGCTCAATCCCAAATCTGTGGAATCACTTTGACTCCTCTTTTCCTTTCACACCCATGTTTAATACATCATGAAATCCCGCTGGTTCTCTTTCAAAATATACCCAGGTTCCAACCACCTCCATCTCCAATCCATCTCTATCCCCACTATTATCACCCTGGTCAATCTATCATCATTTCTCAACAGGGTTACTGCAAACCCCCTATCTGATCTCCCTACTTCTGCTCTTACCTTCCTATCATCTGTTCTCAACACTGTAGGCACTATAATCCTCTAAAACCTCAGACAGATCTTATCACTCTTCTACTCAAAACCTTGTAAGGGCTCTTCACTACACTCCAAGCAAAACCTAAAAACCCTTACAGTGGCCTACATTCTTAGGCTCCTTGTGAGCTCTCTACTTTCCTCTCCTATTGCCCTCCTTTTCATTCACTTCATTCCAGCTACACTGGTCTTCTTGTTGTTCCTCCAACTCACATGGCATGAGCCAGCCCCAGGGCCTTTGAACTAGCTGTTGCCTCTGCTGAATTGCTCTTCCCCTAGACATCTCCATGAATAATTCATCTCCTTCACCTTCAATGAGGTCTCCTCTGACTACCAAACAACAACTATAATTTTCCTTCTCCCCACCAATCCAATCTTGCTTATTTTGCCCTACTTTTTATTTTTTCATAGCTATTTATCACCTTCTAACATATTAAATATATTCTTTATTATGTTAATTGTTTACTGACTCTCTCCTTCGGCAAGAATGTAAAGTCCATAAGACCTGGAATCTTTGTTTTTTCAGAAAACAAATTTATATTTTTGTCATGGTTAGGTAAGAAGATTCCTTAGTATATGCCAAAGGTACCAGAATTTACATCAGTAAATTGGTTCCATTTTTTTTTTTTAAATGTGCTTTCTCACCTTGATACCACAATTCTCTAGATAGAGATTTCTATTTTAACTTATTTATAAAATTTGTTTATTTTTATCAGACATCTGATAAGGAGCAATGTATCCACAAACATTTGTCAGGTGTGGGATGGAAATGGGTAGATCAAGACAGAGCTTTCCAAGTCCCTTAGAGAAAGGAATGCACGACCTAAGCAGGCTTTTCTTGCTTGGTCCTAAATAATCTTAAAACAGATGGCAAAAGCTAAATACTAAGTCTGCTGCTATGGAAACCACTATCACAGCAACCCATTCTAGAGCTCCACCTATGAGATAAATGTTTGTCTTCCTCTTGTTACAACCTGAACCTGCTAACATCCACTCTAAGTCCTACTAGAAGGTATAGCCACTATAGATACATATCAGCTTGACAAAAAAGTCTGAGAGAAACTAGGTCATACACCATTTCGCCTTAAACATAGTCAAAATCCAGCAACATACTGAGAAAGAGTTTTATATAATTTGCCATGTTATTCTGTATTCAAGTTCCACCTTTATTATCTAAAAATTCATATATCTTACCTTAATATTGCAAGCCTGCTCCATTAACCTTCTTGCATTTTCCTCTGCCCTGTATCTCTTTGGAAGCTGGACTCTGAAGAACTTTAAAGCACCTTCAAAATCAGCCTGCAGAAGATCTTCCTTTGAGGTCTAAAAAATAATCACCAAGAATCATCAATTACATTTTAACCTACATTCAGAACGAATACACTGTAAAAGGAATTTCTATTTTCCTGAATGTAATTTTATAGCCAAGATCTAGGTGAGCTTCAAAAATTTTTAGGAAGAGATTTCTAACCTCTTTAACTATAAGCTGAAATAAGTCACCATAAATCCTAGACGTGACAAAAGAATTAACAGGCTAACATATTTAATTTATATTACCTGAAGATTTGAATAGTGGATCTTGGCAAAGCTAACCATGTTATGGCTCTAAAAAAAGAAAAATGCCAGAAAAGGAAAAACTTTGAACTCTGGGACTAATCTGTGATTTTAGCTTGGTAGGCATTTTAAGGATATTTTACAAAGCTGGCTGAAGACATAGACAATGCAATCAAAGCACAGCAGAATTATATAATAAACACCTAATGAGAGGATGACTTTTCAACTAGTGACAGTAGCAGTTCAAGTGAAGAAAATAAGAAATTGTACCCATATCTTTTTTTTTTTTTTTTTTTTTTTTTTTTTTTTTTTGTGGTATGCGGGCCTCTCACTGTTGTGGCCCCTCCCATTGTGGAGCACAGGCTCCGGACGCACAGGCTCATCGGCCATGGTTCACAGGCCCAGCCGCCCCACGGCATGTGGGATGTTCCCAGACCGGGGCACGAACCTGTGTCCCCTGCATCGGCAGGCGGACTCTCAACCACTGCGCCACCAGGGAAGCCCTGTACCCATATCTTAAAGACTGCTATAAAAAAGTAAATGAAGCAAACCACTTAACTACTGAACTTCTTATGAAAACTACTGCTTACCAGATTTACTTAAGAAATAACCACCACTTATAAATATGTGTATGCCCAGAAAAAAGACTGAAAGGAAATAAAAGAAAATGTTTCTCTGGATAGTGGGAGTATAATTTTTTTTTTCTTCTTTATATTTTGCTGTTTTTTCTGCAGTAAAGATTTTGTAATAAGAAAGGCAATAAATATTTTAATAAACAACTATAAGTAATCGCTGGCAAACACTGAGACACAAATTAAGAGACTGAGAAAGACTGGGTACACAGAAGTAGGCCAAGACAGAAAGAAATAAGGTGTTTTAAGAGTCAGCACTTAATTGTCAAAAACTGCAGAAATCAAACAAAAACAAACAAACAGACAAAAATAAAACATGGTGGCTAGAAATCACAGAACTACATGCTAGTTCAAAATATTACTTTATTTACATTCAAATTTAAAACTGATTAACCTTAAAGACTGCACTGAAAGAGTATAACGAAGTCAGAGGAATCCTGCTCATAATGAGTTGTCATCACCACCAGCCTGGACTGAGCCATTGTCATCTCTCAGCTGAGCCACTGCACTAACTCCCCAACTGGTCCCCCTCTTTCTGCTCTTGCTCCCCACAATCTACTCTCCTTACAGCAGCTAGATGATACTTTTTCAGATCATGTTGCTCTTCTGTGTAAAGCTCTCCAGTGGTTCCTACTGTGCTCAGAATAAAACCCAAAATCTTTACCATTGCCCACAAGACCCTTCAGGACCTGGGGCCCTTGCCTTCCCCTCCAACCTCATGTTGAATCACATCTCCCTCCTTGCTCTCAAGCTCCAAGCACACTGGCCTTCTTTCTGTTTTCTTGTACACACCAAGTTCATTCCTAACTGAAGGCTACTGCCTGTTCTCTCTGCCTGGAATATTCTTCCCCCAGATCTTCATAACGAGAACAACTTTGTGTGATCTAGATTTTAGCACAAATATAAGATCTGAGTTAGGTCTTTTCTGAGCACTTAAATTCTTCCCGCCAGCCCATCAAGTCATTTTCCATCCACTCATTTTCCAGTTTTACATCTGTTTTCGTCCTAAGGAAAGGGGATTTATCTGTCTTGTTCTTTGCTGTATCCACTGCCTAGAGTACAGGAGGTACTCAACTAAAATTTACTGAATAAGTGAATGAATTCTACTTCCGCCTCTCTTTCACTATACATATATAATTTTTTCTTCCCTTCTCTCCTCCCCTTTAAACAGAAACATGTAAAATAGAGTAATAATTCACACAGCAGGCATTTTCACAGGGAACTAGGTTGGCCCAAGTTTAGATTCACAAACTAGTAATCAGGAGACAGAGCCAGGCTAATAGTGTCAGGGAAAAAAACAAGCTTCAGTACATGTCAGATTTATTTCCTCCCTCACAGATACTGAGAGATGGTGGCAATAAGCAGTGGAGAGAATATTTAGCATGATAAAGTGCTATCATCTCACCTTAACTTGGTAGGAAAAGGCAGTTACTGGAAACAACTTCAGCCCCAAAGAGGGCCTCCTCAACTAAAATATCAACTGCTGAATTACTGAGAAAGCATCCACCTACCAGTTATGCCAGACATACTACATCCTTTTTCACCTGTAATACTGGTTCTGATGATTATCTCTTTGGCAATTGCTGGGAAAGTTCAACACAGGCTGCTTACAGAGTTTGTAGCGAAACAGGATTAGTAGCTTTCTTCATTAGTCGAAAACCTTCTAAGGGCACCTCTTCTATTGTCAATGCAACTAACCTCTAGTTACCTACAAACAGATGCCCAAAAATGGTGGGGAGCAGTCTACTGCCTACAGGCAGCAGCATGGTTACCTAATTTTCTAATACGGCCCAAGGCCTAATTTCAAGTCCAGCCTCTGAGTTCATACAAAAGCAGAAAGATTAGGATTAAAGATGAGAAGTCAAATATCCTGTGACATTTGCCCTCTGGTCAGGCAGGGATGGCCAGGCACACAGAGATGCTGTTTGGAGGAGGCTGTAGTCTCAGGGGAGGTACAGCAAGGAGCTCCCTACCCAGGTGGGGCTGAAGCTCAACTCAGTTTAAGTCTCTGGAAACCAGAATTCAGAGTGCCCTGTGACTGCCCTTTCCAAGACACCGCTGGTGTTAGTGAAGCTCCAGATTGCGTGACTGGCCCAACTCAAGCCCCTGAAGAGAGGAGCTCTGATAATCATGAGGCAAGTGTAGAAAGTGCATCTTATTTAATCCTCTAATTTTAGCCTCTAGGAAGTACTTGTCAATTAGAGGTCCTCAAGCAAGGTTGCAAAGGATGGAACAGTCATTTTAATTCCAACTCTGGCTAACTCATGGTACTGCGTAATTCTCCACCGTTCTCCTACTTTAAAAGTGGGACTATATTCAACCTCGAGTATTTGAGAATGAACAAAGTTAAGGCATATGAGTATATTTTGTGAACCCCCAAACAAATGTAAGGGACAACATTTTGGAAAGTTGTCTCTGTTGCTCAAATATGCTCAGATACTGAAATTTTAGTATAACATTTTGTTACATTGCTTATAGTCCTTTTTTCCTAACCTTACAGATACATTTCATATGTATTTAACAAAATTTGAGTCACTTTGTACATATTATTTTGTTAAATATGTACACCTCATAAATGTCAAGCATTGATGTAATAATATTAGTCCAAAATATAGGTAGTGGTGCTTTCTATGAAACTAAAACATGGCTTCAATCACACATACTAATTATTAATGAGCTGACTATGGAGATATTAACTTAATTAATGGTTATAATTGAGCTTATAATTGCATGAATGCTAACCCTCTCCTCCGACAAAGAAGAGGAGTTTAACACATGATCTTGTGATAAGACCCAAGCTTTAAAAAGACACCCCTAAAAGGCAGACTAACATTTCAAAAACCAAACCAAGTACCCAAAAGAGGTTGGGCTGGCTTCTGGATAACATTATCCATCTGTACTCACTACACAGAACCCCATCAGGCTAGAAGAATTGATTTAAATTGGAAAGGCTGTTCTTCAACTGGGAAATTCTTAGAGTTTTTCTATATTACCTTCAGAACAATAGTGAAGGAATAGTAAAATAATGAAAATGCAATTACTTTCCTAACATTATTTGCTAAGTAATGTCAGTCAGAAGATAATATAGACAAGAACCAGGGAATTTGAATAAGCAAAGGCATGTTTTCTTCCCTTGTACAATAAAGGAAAGAACTCTACCAGCTTTTAAGTAAGAACTAATAAATGATAACTTTTGAAAATCAGTGGCTCTACTAATACTCATCTTTTGCTCTCCAAACTTTCTGTCAAATCCTTTTAAGTGATGATAGGAAACATGTTTACCAATTACACCTTCAAAGGTAACATTCCTTCTTCCTCATTTCTATGAATAGAGTTATATAAAAGGATCACCTGGATAATTAAAAAAACATTTAAACAAGTCCTACTTCTATTTCCTTTCAAGTAGGTAGAAATAAACATCCAGAGGGAAAGGTAAGTAGGATGTTAATGTAAGAATCCTTCCCACTCACCCCAGTAAAATGAATTAAGCACATTGCCAGGCACACAATAGACACCAACATATATCTGTTCCATGAATTTATAAAGGATCTACTTCAAGCATACTCACTATTAATAAGTCAAAGATTTATAAGATGCAAATTAGAAAGGAGATGAAGGAATTATTTTGATATGAAAATTGACTTTTATATTTGGGGGCATCAGAATTGGGGGGGCAATTCTTTTATATATTGGGGGGCATCAAAATTGACTTTTATATTTGGGGGGCACCTTTTATACTTGAGTCTTTAACTTCTTTAAGAGTTATCATCTCTCTTCAGTGAGTAGTCCTGGCAGCAGTCAACAACAGAGGTAAAAATGGGAGAGAAACTTTCTCCTCTGCTCTTTTATTCCCTCCTTAAAATTAATGTTTTAAGGAAGTCCACAAATTAAAAAAACAAAACTAGGATGCAGTTTGACAGCATAAAGAAATACGATCAAAATTAAACTTTAAATGGTTACTGGAGGGACAGCTGGAACATTTGGCTATAGATATATGTCAATCCTCTTCAGCCTGAGAGTCCTTTGGATTCACCGTGCATAGTGCCCAGAGTATCAGATTGAAACTACAGCCAACACTGATATCAACATATAATGATCTGATAACTTCCCATGTCATATAAAAGCAAAAAGAAAAAT